GGGAGAATGCAGGCCAGCCCCTCTGGAATTTCCCCCTGCTCCGAGGCTTTTGGAGGAGGGCCTTGGAGGCAGTGGGTGGATCTGAGGAGTGGTAGGCTGCACCTTTGAGGGACCTCAGCCAATCCCCAGCAGGAGGCTTGGCTTAGCAAGGGGCTGGACTCTCTAAAAAGGTGTTAGAGTCTGCTCAGTGGGAGGAGTGGGAGTGTGGTGGGTGGGAGAGGAGTGAGAAGCAGGAAGATGTGAGGCTGGAGGAGGAAGGCTGCCAGGAGGCCTGCTGGGATGGGGCATGTCTGTGAGCCTGGATCTGGAAAGGAGGAAACCTCAGGACTCACTGGTCCCCTGACAGAGGACCACCTGTGTGGCAAGGAAGGAGCAGTCCAGCTGATATGCTTGAAGGAGCACTCTGGTGGGAAACCAGATTAGGCCTGTGCTAGTGAATGTGCACATTTCTTAAGGGAACAGGAGTCAGATCCCTTGCTCAGGAAGAAAACCTTCAGATGATTGGGTGAAGAGGAGTTCATCTAGAGTCCAGTAGTGAGGTAGCTCAATTGGAGCTGCTGGCTAGCACTCCAACAGAGACTGTGTGTCAGAAGAAACTGTCAATTGTTCAGGAAGTTGTCCTTGGATTTCAGTAACCTTGGGCATCCAATACACCCCTATACCCTATCAAAATTTAATGCCCTCAATGAAATAACAAAACTAACGCTCAAGGCCTGATTTCTGTCTGTGGATGAAAGCTGTGTGGAAAATGCTAATAGACTGGCTGTGCAGGACTATAGGGGACCCAAATTCAACAGCAATCCCTAAGGGGGTAGTGCTACATGTGGGGACTTGTATTCTGAGATTCGCCTATAGCAACCTACTGCCGTCACCCCTAGCAACCAACGAGCCTGAAGAAAGGAAAGTATCATGGAACCCAGTAAACCATACAGGGCCTATCAAAATTTCCTAGTAAACACTGTGCCTTGTCAGCTCTGGGCAGTAGATTTTTTAGTAAACTGGCAGAATTCCCTCTATTTTACTCCACTCATGCTCTCCCTCCACATGGTGGGTGTAGTGGGCGGTTTTAATCACAGGCGTTTGGGCATGAACTTGGGCATGCTGGTAGGCATGGCCATGCCCCTCCTTGTGATCTCTTGGCCCTGGCCAGACTGCTGTGCTGGGACTTTCCTGCCAAGGGTGCCAACCTCCTTTGTGGTCTGTGTTCACTTTAACAAACCAAAGTTGTTTTTGCAGATGGTTGCTGGTTTTAAATTTAACATGAGTTTGTCTTATTTAATAACATTTACATTGAAATGTGAACACTTACTTTCATGAGTTAAAAGCCACCTCCAATGGGTCTAGCATGTGCGCACACAAGCACACATTAGCACACATTGACAGTTACATACTTCCCAACATGTGCTTGCATTCTTACTCTCTGTTACTCTGTATCAACCTTGCTCTCATAAAGCAGATAGTTCTACTATGAAGACTTATGAGACCACTTGCATTGGCTCTAATACTATCTGTACTGCAGTACTGAAGTTTATTTATTCGATTTTTTTTACCAGTGCTGCAGTGACATAACTTACCTGAAAGTAAGACTGACCCGTGTCCTGCAGACAGATGGTTCCTGAGGAAATCTTCTGTCTTCAGATTCTTGGTCCTCTTCACAGTTCTGAACTTCCAGCACTCTGGGGGTTAACAGCTTGAGGTCTAACATTTCAATGCATTTCAGAAGCTCCCGAAGGCAGGCCATGTCTTCTTACCCTTTCTATCAAAAATCTATTTATTGATTTTCTTAAGTGTAACATGGTCTATGAGTGGTGGAGAGGATTTTGCCATTCATCTGACCTTACCCCCACTTAAAGACCATGTTACATTCAGTGAAATCAATAAATGGACTTTTGTCAGTGGAGGAGAGGAGAGGGTGGGCCAGTGTCAGGAGCTTAGAAATGCATTACAATGTTAGACCCAAAAGTATTAACCCTTATAGTGCTGGATGTGCAGAGCTGTAACAAGGAACAGGCATCACTTTAGAGAAGATTTCTTCAGGAAACATCAGCCTGCAGGACATGGAACATTCTTCAGTACATGTAAGTTATGTGATTGCAGCAGAAAAAATGTTTTAACTAAACTTCAGCTTTAAATAGCTGAGCCCAGCAAAGTCTTTGTATTCTTGGGCTACCACTCACCTGTTTATTTGCATGTCAAGGCTACCATTTTTGATGTTCCAGACCCAGGGCAGCTGGCAGGAGCTGTGAGGTATAGGTGCTAAGGGATAGTAACATCTCTTAAAAATAATTACCGTATTATAATAAATTACAAATCAAATAAATCAGGCAGCATAACTTAACATGTCATCATTACCACTATATAGTTAGTCTAGAGTTTGTAAAATAATATGTCACTTAATAAAACAAAATCTTTTATGCACTCTCTTTATTTCAAGTAGAAAAATCTTTGTCTTTATCAGCTCTCTGCCTGAGGGTGTCTGTGGGGAAGCTGGAAGAAATCTAAATTTGGATCAAGCAAGTGATGTAAAGTGACAAGTGATCTATATATAAATTACCATAAAAAATTAAAGTCTGAGATACAGAAACCTTGTGTCAAACGCAATATATAGTGCTTTGCATAAGTATCCTCCCTTGGATTTTTTCCACATTTAATTTTTTATAACCTGGAATTAAAATGAATATAATAGGAATTGTATGTCAATAATCTAAAATAGTATGTAAAAATGAAAAAAAAAATCATCATTGTTTTTCAAATTATTTATACATAAATAGTTTGGTCTGAAAGAAACTTGGGAGGAGGCTTACCTTTCAGAAGGACTATGTCTCTAAACATACAATTGATTCAGAGATTATGCTCACAGGTGAAAACAGCCAACAGTCTGCTAGTCATTGCAGGGTCAAAACAAGATTAAAGGCAATATAAACATACTGAAATACACTGAAGAGAGCACACACATAATATTGCACAATTCTATACAATCAGAACCTCTGTATATTTTAGTATAGCTGTGACAATCAAAGGTCAGGCTCATAGGCCAGTGGAAAGATTCACACAGAAACCAGCAGAATAACTACATGAGCAGATGGGCTAATGTGGACTCACCCACAGTGCTGGGTCTAAGCACTAACCAGTCTTCACCAGAGCTCCTGATGGTGGAGATGGGTTTCTCCTCTTGCCAAGTTGTGGTGTGCAGTATCATCCCACCAGGAGGTGAGCAAGCTGGGGTCCGGTAGCAGATGTAACAGGTAGATATCAAGCAGAAGCATAGTCAGTAAACAAGCCAAAGGACAGTAACAATTGGTTGCAGTTTGGGATGAAGTGGAAGAATAGTCAAGGAACAAGCTAAAAGTCAGTAACAAATAATTGCAGATTTGGATCAAGAGGAAGTGTAGTCGAGGAACAAACCAAAGGTCAGTAGAGATGGAGATGAGGGTACATATGGCAGCAGGAGAGTAAGGAGCAATATATTGGTTGGAGAAGAGCACAATAATCTAGCAAACCAGAACTGCAAAAGCAAGGTTTAAATAGGAAGTTGTTGGGAGGAGCAAGGAGTTCAAGGTTCATCAGAAACAAGATAGCAAGTAAGTTTATCCAACGCTCAGGCAGGGTGCTATCCGTTAACTGAGGCGACTCACAAAGAAGACTTACTGCCTGTTGCAGTGGAGGTCCTGGGTTCAGATCAAGGCCCAAACAGTAACTCTATAGAAAAGGCAAAATATTTTTGTCTATGATACTTTTTAGCGGCTAAATAAAAATGAATGCATTTTTTTATATTTTTAATTAGCCAGTATCACAATTTTCACCTTCTTTAATTGTAATTGTAATTATTCCTAACACAGTAAATTATTTTATTTCACTTGCTAAAAGTATGACTCTAAAAACAAAGAAAACGAAGCACTGGAATGGTTTTTAAACCAAGAACTTGAATTTTTTAAATGTCACTGGCTGAGCCAAGATCTCACTGCAATTGAGAATCCATGACACAGCTTGAAATTTGCTGTTTGCAAATCAGACCAGGCACAGCTAAAACCCAAATGAATGGCCAAAAATAGCAGGATCAAGTTGTGTACAGCTGATTGACACTGGCACCAAAATATTTGCAGTTGTGTTTGCAGTTAAATATGGTTCTATGGAATATGAACTCAGCAATCAAAAATATTTGTTATTGAAGTTAAAATGAAACTGTAGCATAGGGATCAGCATCAGCTCCTATCCTATTGTGTACGTTTTACATAGAAATCTTGGCAAATATGGCAAACTTAGCTCAGGATTTGCACTTCAGCTCTAACTGCTCTGAGTTCTCCACCACTGCTCCTGCCATTTTGTCTGCTGCTTATTCCTTACCTGATACTGGAGTTACATTGTCCCAGCTTCTGCACATGCTTACTGGAGTTACATTGTCCCAGCTTCATTGTACACACACAAATAAGTGTGCACTGCACTGTGTATGCACTGCAGCAGGTTACACAGTAAAGAAATTGCTAGAAGAAAATGAAAGAGTATTTTGGCAATAGCGACATGCAATTTGTTTTTTGTTCATTTTAGTTTTTCCACAATAAATCAATTTTACACCAAAGTGTTCAGTATGTTAAGTTTTTATTAATTATTCGGCAAAAATGACAGCTTTAACACCACAAAACGAGGAAGAGACAAAGCACTGTAAACTGATGTTGTTATATGAGACTGGTTCCCTAAAGGATTTGAGAATGTTCACACAATACATTGTGCAAATATTAATTTCAATTGCTCAGTCTTTTGAAGATGAAATAATTAAAGGATTTTCTTTTCATATGACTAGATAATTGAAGCAATTATTATTTACTTAAGCTAAATTAAGCTAATTTATTGTGTGAACATTCTTCAATCCATTAGTAAGTCTGCCTATATGTTTCTATGTAATATACATGATATTGTCAATAGTATTGGGACACCCCTCCCAATCATTGGATTTAGGTGTTCCAATCACCTCCATGGCCACAGGTGTACAAAATCAAGCACCTAGGCTGCAGACTTCTTTTACAAAGATTTGTGAAAGAATAGGTCGCTCTCAGGAGCTCAGTGAATTCAAGTGTGGTCCCATAATAGGTTGCCACCTGTGCAATAAGTCCATTTGGGAAATTTCCTTGCTACTAAATATTCCACTGTCAACTGTTAGTGGTATTATAACAACGTGGAAGCAACTGGGAACAACAGCAACTCAGCCAGAAAGTGGTAGGCCACGTAAAATGAGAGCGGGGTCAGCGCATGATGAAGAGTAAAATGCGCAGAGGTCAACTGTCTGCAAAGTCAATAGATAAAGATCTCCAAACTTCATAAGGCCTTTTAGACTAGCACAACAACAGTGCATAGAGAGCTTCATGGAATGGGTTTCCATGGCCGTATCAGCAGCTGTATCCAAGCCTTAGATCACCAAGTGCAGATGCAGTGGAGTAAAACACTCCACCACTGGACTTTAGAGCAGTGGAAATGTGTTCTCTAGAGTAGTGGAAATGTGTTCTCTAGAGTGATAAATTATGCTTCTCTGTCTGGCAATCCGATAGATGTATTTGGGTTTGGCAGTTGCCAGGAGAACGGTACTTACCTGACTGTATTGTGCCAAGTGTAAAGTTTGGTGGAGGGGGGATTATGGTGTGGGGTTGTTTTTCAGGGGTTGGGCTTGGCCCCTTAGTTCCAGTGAAGGGGACTTAAGGTGTCAGCATTCCAAGACATTTTGGACAATGTCATGCACTTTGTGGGAACAGTTTGGGGATGGCCCCTTCCTGTTCCAAAATGACTGTGAACCAGTTCACAAAGCAAGGTCCATAAAGACATGGATGACCGAGTTTGGGGTAGAGGAACTTGCATGGCCTGCCCAGAGTCCTGACCTTAACCCGATAGAACACCTTTGGGATGAATTAGAGCGGAGACTATAAGTCAGGCCTTCTTGTCCGACATCAGCTTCAGATCTCACAAATGCGCTTCTGTAAGAATGGTCAAACATTCCCATAGACACATTCCTAAACCTTGTGGACAGCCTTCCCAGAAGAGTTGAAGCTGTTATAGCTGTAAAGGGTGGGCCAACTCAATATTGAACCCTACGGACTAAGACTGAGATGCCATTAAAGTTCATGTGCTAGTAAAGACAGGCGTCCCAATACTTTTGACAATATGGTGTGTATACTGAGGGCAACCTTTGCTTAGGTATTTTTAACTTTTGAACTGTTCATATTTTTGGCAGGTTTATATCAAATGATATTGAATGATCTGAGGTATAGCTCTTTGCAGCTTGCTGTTGTTCTTTAACCACCTCAATCCCAGACACTTGTATCCCCTTCCTGCTCAGGCCAATTTTAGAGCTGTCACACTTTGCATGACAATTACTCACTCATGCAACACTGTATCCAAATGAACATTTTATCATATTGTTTAAGACAAATAAGGCTTTTTTTGGTGGTATTTAATTACCACTGTTTTTTTTTTATTTTTATTTTTGGCTATATAAACTCAAAAATTCTGAAAACGTTGAAAGAAAAACATTTTTTCTGTTATAACATTTTGCAAATAGTAATCTTTCTTCATAAATTTAGGCCAAAATGTATTCTGCAACATTTCTTTGGTACATACAAAACCCAAATCAGTGTATATTATTTAGACTTTGTGAAAGTTATAAAGTTTACAAACTATTTTACATATATGTGAAAATTCATCATTCCTGATGTACTGACTGCTTGTCATTTTATGAGGTTCTAAAATTCCAGGACAGCACAAATACCCTCCAAATCAATGATATATGGAAAACTCAAGGTATTTGGTAAGAGGCATGGTGAGTTTTTTGAAGTTGTCATTTTTGTCACAGTTTTTGAAAAAATAAAGATATTAACTATTTTTTTCACATTTTTTCTTTTACATACTGTCATCAGAGCAGTACAGTGTCATCATATAACTTGTGGCAGTGATCAAGGATACTGACTAGTGACAGTATGTACAAAAGCATTTTTTTTTTTTTACATTTTTAAACTTTTTTTACATTCTGAAGAATATATTTAATAAAAAATATATATTTTTAAAAAAATATAATATATTCTTCAGATTTTGTTCAACATATAAAAAAGTAATTTTAAAATATATTTTTACATAGATTTGTAAATGCATTCCAAAAATGTAGATTTGTATTTTTAAAGACATACAGTATATTTGAAATGTTGTAAGAAAAATGCATTTCAGCATGCAGTATATATATATATATATATTTATTTATTGAAATATATTGAATATGGCCAAAATGGTAGCATTTCAAATATATGGCAATATATTTGGGAAGAATATGTTTAAAATATATTTCAAATATATTTGTCTTCTATGTGGGACTGTTTGAAAAGAGTGTGGAACAAACACAATCCACAATGTGAGTGTTTTTAATTGCAAACGTTTTTCAAACAGAAAGGTAAAGCATTATATTCTACATTCATTAGACCACAACAACAGTAAATAGTATTGTTGTGGAACCAGTCTCATAAGCAGTCTCCAGTAGACACAAACATACAGTTACTTTATTACAAATACCGAGTACATTGTGTCTTATTTTATTGTAGCTAAATGTTCCTTTTTCACAAAAACAAAGCATAACTGTTCTATTTTACAGTTTTATATTTTGACCTTCACTCCATACTGAAAGACTTATTTTTTTTATAGAAAATAATAGAGAGCTATAATTGCCTTGTGTTTGGGGAGTATGGCAGTAAATGTGACAATAGTACCCAAGGTAAATCAATGAAAGAGAAAGGTAGAAGTGGGCAAGGAGTACTTTATGCACTGTACTGTACACGTTATGTAAATGGAGCCAGAGGTGTCCAAGCAGGTAATTTCAGCACTGTGCAAAGCACAAGCTAAATCTAAAAATAAAAATAAAAAAAAATAAAAAATTCTATGGAAAATTTTTTATATTATATTCCTAGAACAATTATAAATATAATTATTAGAAATATATAAAAATATATTTATCTAACTCTTTTGTATTTTGTGTACATATTAATTTTACATTCTAAATGCATTCTATTAAACAAGAATCATGTTTTTATGTTAGATTCTTCCTGAGTCATAAATATATGATCAAATGTTTTTATGCCATTCATTTTTTTTCAACATTTTTTGTATATTCTTATCTAGGATTATTAATGGAGTTCTAAATCATTTTTTTTTTTTAAATATAAAATGTTTTTGATTTGCCTGCAGTTAAATAATTACTTAGCCTGGTTGTAAAGTCTCAAGGTTTTATACCTTCATGCACTCTGTGCATGAAGGTAAAATACCTTCTCTGTGCAGCAGCTCCCCCAGCCCCCATAATACTCAAATAAGCCCACTCTCGATCCAGCGATGTGCACTGGAGCCTTGACAATCTTGGGACTCCCTTTCCTCATTGGCTAAGACAGCAGCAGGAGCCTTTGGCTCCTGATGCTGTCAATCACAGCCAGCAAGCCAATGAGAAGAGAGAGGGGCGAGACCAAGCTAAGGCTCCATGTGTGAATGAACACAGCAGGTGCTCCCATTGCAAACTGCTTGCTGTGGGAGCACCTGACAGGAGGGAGGGACCAGGAGCACGACCGAGAAGAGGAGGATCTGGGCTGCTCTGTGCAAAACCACTGCAGAGAGCAGGTAAGTATGATGTGTTTGTTATTGATAAAAATAAGCCTTTAATATCACTTTAAACAAAGTACTGGATTCTGTGGATTTATGTTGGAGATTTTCTATTTTTTTTGTGAGTGATTATGTGCTCATTTGTTTAAAGTATATACTGTATAAAGTAAAAAAGTTATTCTTTAATTTTGCATAAAGTAGGGGTTGGTTAAAATCCCTGTCAAGTTTGTTTTTGCTGTTTGTGCCCCATTGTCTTGAGACAAAACAGAAAGTAAGACTAGTAAGTAAAAATCTTCTCTTGGACATTTGCCACTTCAACAAGTATACCCCTTAGAAGATTTTAGGGATGATCTATTTAGAGGTGACCATATTTAGTCAATGATGTCAAAACTGACTATTATTAATTTTCACAAAAAAACAAAAAAAAAAAAAAAATACAATGGAGAATGATAAAAGGTCAAGCTGAATTATGCAGATGACAGATATGTCCCACAGCAAAGTGGTAGATAATGGGATATAGATGTCAGATCAACAATAAAGACAAATAATTAACAATTGATAATTGGTAATTAAGAAGAAAGGTGAGTGACAAAGACTTTATAAGACAGTGCCTGTCATATTCATTCCAACTATAAATTACATAATACATGATTTGCGTATTTTTAATAATGCCCTTTAAGCCAAATTAAAAGGCCCTCTCCTTGCTGATTTTTTTTCACCCAGGCAGTGCTCAGTTATCCATTCCCAATCCCCCAAGTGTGCAAATTAGTCTTGAAAAGGGCCGGAAAAATAACAAGATTTAAATGGGGTTCTGAGTTCAGGTCCAACAAACCGAATTTTGTCAGTTCACTTATTCTTGTTGCAGAGACAACTCAAAATGTCACATCTAGCCCACTTTCAGTTCAGATGACAATGGTCAAACATATATTGTGCCAAAAATGTACACAAATAAATCTTTGCAGGATTTTTGTACCAAATACAACTGAGCAGTCTCAGTTGTAATTGGTGTTCTTGTGCCTGCAGAATGAGAAAGTGTTCAGGAGAAGATTAGTGAACAGCATCATTATGTTGGACTTTAGAACTGATATCAGTTCTACTCCTGGGGTAAAATGGTCAGGATAAAAGAAGATGAAAAAGTAAAGTAATGCCTAGTTACAAATGATATTTTGGTTTTAGAAATAAATAATTTAACAGTGACAGCACTAAAAGTATACTCTTGGCTTTGTAAAATGGTAAAAAAAAAAAAAAAAATCTAAAACCAAGAAAAAATAGACATCCTATACTTGGAAAAATAAGATGCTTGGGTTTCTTTGCAAAACTTGATCATTAACAATATGAGCAACCACTGCAGCTAGTGAATGTGTTCCAGGAGCCCAGCTGGTGTCAGAGGAGCATATTACCTACTGTGTGTATTCTTAAGTGGGGTGAGCTCTTGTATTAATGATGAAATGTAATTCCCCACATCTTTATTTTAGATAGGGCACCGACATGAATACAGAGAGGGGACCGCTTGCAGCAAGTGAAATATCTAAAAAAAAATAAATTAAAAAATCTCCTCTATTTTTATTCAGGGTCCAATTCCCCACACTAATAAGGAGGAGCTTGGCAATCCAGCATAAAGTCTTATATATATAGTTTGCTCTTCCAGCAGCTGACTCTGAATCCTCACAAATGAATATATATGTAAAAAAAAAAAAAAAACAGAGAGAATCAGATGTGTGATTAATTTTGTTATGAATCAAAATTTGGCCAAAATGTTTGTTATTTGGAGATTTGAATATATCTGAAAATCTGGGTGAAAACAGTAACACATTTTTAACAAATCTGAAATAATTATAACAAAACAACATTTCTTTTAGATGTTTGAAGCATCCAAAATAACAAATTATCTGAATTGATTCGTTAATAGTTAAACCATGACTCATCTGTGGAATGTAAACAAAAAAGCCAGCATTTTTTTTGTTAAATGGCATGTGGTCCACCCTAAAATGC